ACCAGATGGTCAATACCATCTATACAATGCAAAATTTAATTTTTTTAATTAAATTATGAGATGGTTAAATAGCATCACTGAAGCAATGAGCATGAAACTGAGCAAACTCAGGGAGGCAGTGAAGGACAGGAAGGCCTGGCGCAATATGGTTCATGGGGTCACGAAGAGTCGGACACGACTTAACGACTAAACAAAAAAAAAATAGATATAATGGCAACTAATTCTAAATAGTTATGGAATATAGTAAGCCACATAAGGCTTTCTGAAAAAATACCAAACTCCTAAAAAAGTCCCTACCAGCTTGTGCACAAGCAGAAGAAACCAATCAGAAGTAGGAGAATCTGCATGGATACAGCAGGATCTCATGGCAGATATCAGCTTATGGAACAGGCAAGATATCATGACAAGGTGTTATCATCATCATCATCACTTTTGTCATAGCAATTAAATACAGTTAGCAACAATTATATTATTTTTTTCCATTACATTATAGATTCAAATTCCAAAATATCTTTAAAGGGTCCAGAGAGCCCTGGGGCCTCACATTGTATGCTCAGAATCAGTTCTAATTTTCTAATGCAGAAAATCCAGAATTAAGAAGCTCAATAAGTAGCCACACAGCCTCTGCTTGAGAAATTCTGATGGAAAGGTCACTATCTTCTCAAGACAGTCTGCTCCTCACACCATTAGGAAGTTCTTTCTAAATGACCAGAATCCATTTTCTTTCTTTGGTTCATAGCTTGGCCATTGGAAAGCTGTGTAGCCACTACGTTTCCATACATAATAAGACTTGAGAGGAAGGGTATGGAATTTAGCTTCCAATTATCTATTCTAGTCTTAACAAAGAGTATTTGGAAGTTTGCTATGCTTACACCTTAGCTCACTCCATTCTGCTGCTGTATCCCTGAAGCAGCTTGTAGGCATTGGGAGGGAAGTACCTTATAAATGCTAAGGCAGAAGAGAGGCTGATAAGCACAGGCTCATTCAGTTTGTCTTGTGATGAAAAGACACAGGGAGCCTCAATCAGCTTCTCACAGATGCAGCCTCAAGAGGAAAGGGAAAGGAAGTGCAGTGAAAAAACCTTGGTTTTCAGCAGTTGTTGACACCAGTGATCAAAGCATCATGTTCAAAGCACCAGTAAAAGGAGCAGTACTTCCTGCCTTCCAAAGATAAAGGAGGATGGAGTGCTGCACTCTGCTCTGCCCATCCAGGTGAGCACGAGGGAGCCTAGAGGCAGATGTAAAGAATCATGCAGTTAAGATAACTTGCCCAAGGAGGCTAAGAAACAAGGAGGAAGAGCATCTATTTTGTATGTTTGATTCTACTCCTACCTGCCAAAAAGTGTCTTTAGGAGTGGGAGCAGAAGACTAATTTGAGGCTGTTTCTTGTGTTGCAAAACTGGAAAGGAAAATGGGGGAAAGAGACCACTTGGTCCTGAACAGTGCTAGAGAATGTTTTATTAGATATACTCCCCACCTAGGGTAGGAACTGCTTTAGGGGGGGAACCACAGGCAACCCTCACTACTTATTCAATCATATCCTTGAATTATGGGAAATGTTCTAATCTATGCCTAACATAAAGTCCTCTTAGGAATGGATCATGTGCTTTTGTGCCTGACTTGAATCCTTCTCAGAGTCTTCTTACTGCAGTTACTGAAAATCAGCAATATTTTGATATGGGAAATAAATGTAAATTACAACTGTAATATACAGAATACCTTAAAATTGACTTAGAATAATTTTAAGGCTTCATTCCACCCACCCCAATCCAAGAATGAATAGAAAGTACTATCCCTATTCATGTATGAGCAAACCCATCCACTTTGCTTCATGCTTCACCTACTGCAGCCCTAGCCTCCACCAAATTTAAAGTACCTTCCCCAAAGCTATGATCATGGGAGTTGTAGTCCATCACATCTGGAAGGCACCAAGTTAGTTAAGACTGATCTGAAAGGCTCCCAAGTATAGGTAATGATAAAGGTGGCTCACATAATATGTGCACTGTGATATTGAGCTACGGCCTCAGATTGTGCTCTTCGTTTTTTTAAGGAGTCCTCTAAAGTGGCAGCAAAGACAAGCTGCTTTTGGTGATAGGGATGACTTGACTGTTTACTCTGGACAATGTAAACTGAGAGGAAATAAGAGCAATGGTAGAAAAACAAGAACAGATTCAAAGCCAGAAGATATTTAATCACTGATAAATCTCCTGGTGTTGCAGCAGAGATAGAGAAACTGCTGTTTTTCTTTCGTGCATCTCCTTGGATTGTGACCATATTGTTACCAGGGTGACTACATTGTTTTCATATCCATTGGTTTGTGGTTGTTGGGGATCTAGCTATCTTCTACCATATATTTGTGTGAGGGTATGAATGGGCATGGAGGAAAGATTGAGTACCTGAGAACACCTGAGACACAGAAGCAGAAGGCTTTGTTTTGGATGATTTCAGCTTATGTGGAAAAATACCAGAATTGAGACTCTTAAGATGGAACTAGGGATGGTTCTTAAAACAAGAGGCAGTTCTCAAAACATGGAATGGTTCTTAGAACAAGAGATGGTTCTCCTGTGAACTGGATAAACAAATGGTGCTCAAGTGGAAAAATACCTAACGGTATGAGAAGAATACCAACCTCAGACTGATCAAGCCTTGTCATAAATTATAAAAGTGAATGGAAATTGAGCCCTTACATGGAATGAGGTACCAGAAATTGTAGGTTTTCTGGAATTCAAATATCACCTGGCTACTAAACTTTGAATTGGATAGGTATGTATACTATAGGCATGTGTATAAGAAAGAGTGAGTGAAGTATTTGGTTCAGGAAATGAATAATAAAAGTTGTAAAATTGTATTTATTTCTGTATATCCTGAGTTATAAATAAAAAGTAGTAGTACTGTTATTAAAATCTTCTTTATGACCCTCTATGTGCCAGGACCTGCCATTCACCCTTCTCTCCAACTTCCTGTAACTGACCAGAGATCTCATTTTGCCATACAACAAACAGAGAAGAAAAAAATCATAGGCAAATGAACTAGTGGAAAACAGACAGGATAACTTGTTGCTGTCTTGTTATAGAATCGTAGGGTTGGAAGGGACCTGGGAGGTCTTCTAGTCTATCCCCTGACCAAGGCAGGAATCCTCAGACTATCCCAGAAAAATGGCTGTCCCAATCTTTGCTTGAAAACCTCAAGGGATGGAGCACCCATGACTGCAGGAGGTAGACCGGTCCACTGCTTACAGTCAGGAAATTCTTATTTCAAGTTTGGATTTCTCTGTAAAGCTTGCACCCATTGGTTCTTGTCCTGCCTTCAGACACTACAGAGGATAAATGCTCATCTTCTTCCCTGAGACAGACTTTCAAGTATTGGAAGACTACTATCATGTCTTCCCTTAGCCTTCTCTTCTTTAGGCTAAATACCCTTTAGCCATTCTTCATTGAATTTAGTCTCAAAGACCCTCAGCTCTTTGTTGTTCTTCTCTGCACTCTTTCATAATGACGCAAGCAATGGTACACCATCACGAGGCAAGCTCTGCCCCTTTCTCATGTGCATGCAAGGGCATGACATATATACCAAGGGACAGAGCCTACATCATGGCAGCATGATTCTGCTTTTGTAATTTCCTCCCCTCCCTTACCCCCTCCTGTAGATGCTTCTGATGAGTGTACTGCATACACCTCCTGTTTGGTGAGATGCAGGCAACAGTATGTTGGCTAGTAAAGCAGTCTTTAGATTAGAGAACCTAGTTTGCATGGAATATTCTGAACATGCTCAGGGTAAGACTGGGTTTTGGATGCACTTTTGCCATAGTGGCCCAAATGTGTGAAACTGACCCATATTGTCCACACCGTTAGTAGGCAAACTGTATGTGGAGGGAGTATGACTAAGGCTGGTAATGTAATTTGAGATGGAATAATTTGCTTTCCTTCAACAACTTACTGGGTTTCTTTTGGTTTTTGGTTAGCCAAAAAGTAGTAGTGGTAGTAAGGTTGTTGTTGTTTTTTACATTCCCTCCTTTAATTCTCATTATCCTTCCTTTCATTTCTAACACTGTTGTGTTATATTATTGTTGTTCTTGTTGTTAGGAAGGTCAGTCCCAGTTTGGGGGGACCTCCTCTTCAGATTTTAAAATAACCTCCTGCCCCATTCAGGTCTCTTCCATTTTGTTTCATATATTTCAGTATTTTTAACTGAACTATACATTTTGGCCTATTATTTCTGCTTTGGGGTAAAGCTATCTTGAATCCCAGCCCTAAGCCCAAGATATTCTCCAGCTCATCTAACTTTCATCTTCCATTTCCTCCAGGATGGATGATCTCCCATTTTGGAAAACAGAAATGCCAGGTATTATGTAAATCGGTGTCTATCCTTAGGCAAAACACACAGCTTTCTGATAGGCGCAAAATGTGAGCAGATGAATTATTTTTATAGTAATAAAATCAAAGATGAATTCAATTTTAATCACAGTTTTAAATCTCAGACTTCATAACACGCATCATTCATTAAATCAAAGTGGCTTTATGTGGCTATGCTTGCCATATATGGTATTTATTGTTTCCATGCATACTTATTTATTTTCTGATCATTTTAAATTATACACTAGAGCCTGGCATATAAATTATTTTTCGTCCTCATGTTTTAGGATGTCATGAAATCAACTCTGTCCCGGAAACTTCTTGGTGGAATGGTAAGTTGTCCAGTTCCCAAATAAATGCCAAAAATAATGCTTTAGACCAATGCACAACATAGCCACTATGGAAGAGAGAGAGAGAATATAAGAATTAGGATAATACACAGTTATATATTTAAAATTTCACAGAAGTCACTATTACAATATTTTCTCTGGTGGGGACCTTTTTGAATGTCTAACCAAATTTGTAATCATTTAACAAGAGCTAGGCAACCCCAAGTCCTTTGGCAGACTCCAGGGCCCCTTTCTATGCAGCACCAAACATTTAGTAGTGCCATTATCAGGACATTTTTATGAACTGTGCTGTCTTTTTCCTTCAGGTCATCATTTGCTATAATACCCCTTTGGTGAAGGCAGCTCTTTCTGTATATTTCATTATTGTTTTCAATAGATTTTCCTGATTGTGTTTGAGTGTGGCCCTTCCCAGCACTATCTGCAATAAACTCTCGCATCCAAATCCATAGAGGGTAGATGCACAGATGCAGCACCCTGAGTTCATCATCATCTGTGCCTAAGGGCTACTGTATATCTTTCTTACCCCTGCTGGGGGAAAATCTCTTTGGATTAGATCGAATATATTTCACTATTTTAATTTTATTTTCACATTGGTCAACTGATCTAAGCTAAATAGTATTTTTGTCATGAAGATACTTGAATTACTACATCAGACATGACCCTTGTTTCACTACTGGTTAAAATAATATTCTACTGGTTTCAAACTCTGATAAACATATTTAATTTAACCCAATTGATTTCAAATCATTTCCCTGACTTTACTCGTAGCAACCTGTCAGTTGGAATTGTGATTCTGCTAACCTTATTTGAAGAAAAAGATATTCTAATAGATTTATGAAGAGTACAAGAGATTGTTGCTGTTCTCTGTTAGATAATTGGTATTGCAACCCTAACTTTTTTTTTTTTAGTATGAACAGAGCGAGCGAGGGTGACCAGTTAATACTTTCATTTAGGTATACATAAAGCAAAAGGATTTTGACTTTCATTAGCATATTTAGATGATGGGATGCAATGTGAAGGGTTTTTTTAATTTGGGGAAAGTTATTGTAATTTTGTGTGTGCTATTAATTTTTGTTGTTCTTAGTGCTAATTATTAATTTAAATGTTATTTCAGATAGGGAGAAACAGCTGCCAATTTCAAACTTGGTATCCCTAGTTTCCTTGGATGGGGCACTTGAGCCAGAACGGAATATAAAGGAAGGAACATACACTCTAAAAATTAAACCAAGTTTTCAATGCTGCCCCCAAAATACACAAGTATATTTCTATCAGATGGTCATAACATGTGAGTTTTTATATTGTAGAAGAGTTCTCCTTCATATTTTGAGTTGTTTTTAGCAAATTTCCCATATTGCTGGGAAGCATCGTAATTGGAATAGCTTTATAGTTATGGTGATTTGATAGTAATATCTTATTATCACTCTGTAATGTTTTAGCCATACAAACATTTTACTAAAACAAGCTTACCTCTGCCAAAGAAAGCTGAACTGTCCCACGCTTATCCTTATCTAGCATCTGAAACATTTCTGAGTAGCGAAACAAGAGCAGATGTTAAATTTAATAGTAATGCATGGTAAGCCAAAAATGCAAAACTAAGGGATGAATGGAGGTAACTCTTTTCTCCTCATGTAAGGCTTTAGAATTAAGAAGGCAATGTGAACTTCATTTAACTTTCTTGTCAAAAGGCAGTATCTAAAAGCCTTTAAAGATCTTCCTTACAGTGCAGGTTTACTGTAAAGTTGTGCCATTAAAGTAAGTTGGGTCCAATGGAGCAGGGTTGCTCAACCTTGGCAACTTTAAGACGGGTGGACTTCAACTCCCAGAATTCTTGGAATTCTGGAAGTTGAAGTCCACCCGTCTTAAAGTTGCCAAGGTTGAGGAACCCTGCAATAGACTAATCAAGAGAATAAGTTGTCCTTTTTGTGATTTCATCCAATAATCAGAACTAAAAGGCCCTGAGAAAAATGTTGCTCCTAACTTCAAATGTGGAGATCAGGCAGGCCTCGAGCTTTAATCAAATAGACTCGCTGATTTGTCCAAGTGGAAATCTTTTAACTTGGAAGCCATTGTGTATACATGAGAGTCTATACATGTACTCTCTAAATTCTCTGACCCTATTTCTCCTTTCCCAAATATTCAAAAACTTTTCCATGTATTATAACAAATTACTATTCAACTGCAAATATGTTGGACCTTCAAACTTTCAAAAAATAACACTGATCCCAGTATAAGATGTTGCCATTTTTCAACTTAGTCCTAATATGTTTTTAGGACTGTACAGTGACCCAGATTCAAAGGTGATTTGCAGGTCACAAAGCACCTGACGGCAATTCCTTAAAGAAACTGCATCTTCCACATGAGTCAAGGGAAAGTTGCACCTGATTTAAGGGAGTGCCCGCAGGTGCAATGTGCACACTCATGTATGCTACAAATCATCGTTTATCTTTCAAATCCGGATCTCTGCACAGACTAATTTTTTGATAGATCTGGAAAATGTCGAAGGATTCACATACTTGCACTGAATAATAAAATCACATCAGTGGACTGAAGGATTTCAGGTCTGTGTGAATGTCATGACTTTTACTAAAAATTATTTTTACTATGGTCTGCAGGCTCGTTTTCCCACATTTTAATTGTTTTTTTAAACGTGAAACTCCAGAGCATTTTGAACCTAATATAGAAAAAAAGTAGAAGATTCTTTTAGAGGAGAAAAAAACTTTGGGGTAATTTAAAGAAAGAATTCAGAATAGTTCTGCATCTTGGACAAGAAATGAGGGATACCCAGCATCTAAGAGCATCCACATGAAGGGGATCAAAAAGGTCAAGATAGGGACTGCAGTTGCATGATTAAAGGCCTGTCCCTTTCTTATGTGCATCGCATATGCATTACATGTAAAAAAGAGGCAGGGGTTCAGCTGCACAGTCACAGCCACCACTTTGACTTTTTTGACCCCTCCCCATGGATTCCCTTGGCCAGCAAATATTTTATATTTTCTCTGACCAGAAATGTGCTTTATGCATACAAAATATATGCTCAGTAGAGGGATATTCTGCACTGTTGTAGCTGTTGTGCATTCCTGTACAAGTCAACTCTCTTTTCTACAAGTACAACATACAAGCCAGTTACACGGTATAGTATATAACAAGTTAGCAATCACACTGTGGATCTTGAGTAGAGTTTGCAATCAGTATCTTAGGCAGCTGCTATTGGTTTGATTGGGGCTTTATGAAAGAATAGCGTGTCTTCAATGTATGTCTGTATCTGCTTTGCCAGATAGAATAGGTTTGGGATCTTGTCCTGTTTAGCTCTTTATCTAATACAGTATTACAAATTAGAGACATTTTACAATAATGTTCAGTCACTGACAGAGGGATTTTTGTACTCAGGCTAAAAATCTTTTGCCTGTTAGTAAAAATTCTTTCTGGGAGATATAAAGCAGTAGCAGATTCTTTCTTTCTGGTTTCAGGAATACTTACTGAACAGGCATTCTAGACGAATCATACAGGCCACAAAGCCATCAAAATCAATGGTCAGCTTGCTGCAGGCATAGCGAATAGCTATACTTTGCTGGACTTTGTTGCTGAGAGTGAAACCTGTGAAGAAGGAAAGCCAGTAATTAATAAATAGGCATGTGATTGTGCTGAGCCCTTTTAATTTAATTATGCCAGTTTAGTATAGCTTAGAGCAGTGTTTTTCAAACTTGGCAACTTTAAGATATGTGGACTTCAACTCCCAGAATTCCCTAGTCAGCTGGCTAGGAAATTCTAGGAGTTGAAGTCCACACATCTTAAAGTTGCCAAGTTTGAAAAACACTGGCTTAGAATTTTAGACAGAGATTAACAGATTATTGGCTATTCCTCCTAATAGGTATGTATATTTTCTGCAGCAACATGAAGCTCTCCTGGTGATTGGGGACTGCAGTTATCAGGACTCTCAGCCAGCCAGCCAGCCACTGGCCATGTTGGCTGGTGTTTATAAGTACTAAAGTATAATGCATCTGAAGGAAACCAGGTTGAGCAAAATATGTTCATTTTAAAAGCAGGTCAGTTGCTTACTGGGGTTTGATAAGACTTAGAGGCTTGTGGGCAGAATGGTTACTTAAGCCCCACCCCTACCCCCCACTTTCCTTTTTTTTCCTCCATTGATTTTTGTCCACTGAATGGACCAGGAAATAGGCCTGTGTAGGAAAACTTAAAATAATAAACATATTTTATTAAAAGGCATACATTTTTGTGAGCTGCAGGTCACTTCATTCATGGAGTAGTGTCAGACTCCTTCTGATTTTTGGCTACCATAGACTAATAGCACTCTTCTACAATGTCTGAAAGGATGAAATTACTCTTGGGATACTTATTTTTATTTTATTTGTTAATCGTCTTAATTGAGAAATATCACTCAATTCATTTATTTTAAATATTGAAACAAGCTCTGGATAGATGATGTATAGCTCCTGGGGCAATTGCCCAGTTCCAACACAGGTGAATATGTGTAGCTCAGGGTTGAACTGTGGATTCCTTGGGGTTCTCTTGGTTCAAGCTCAGAGAACCCCAAGGACTTCACAATTGCCCAGTTGCTTGAATCCAGTCCACCATGTCCACAAAAGCAGATGCGTATACATTGGTCTACACTGGCAGAATGTGAAAAGTTAGGAGGAGAATACACCTGCTACTAGCAACCTGGCCTTGCATATTCAAGAGGTGTTAGGGGCATCTATGCTTAGGGCTCATGGGGCAGCAGATTTCCCAGTAACATACTTTCCTCCTGACTCATGAAAGGTGGAAAGTACATCAATGGGGCTGTGTGGATGAGCCCTTATTCTCCCTTGCCCACCCAGCATATCATATCATGACTAAGTATATGCAAAACTCTTGATTAGCCAAAAATGCAATTGGACAACATGTGGGAATCCAGTCATCATTGTAGTATGAACTAGTCCATCATGTCAATTCCTAATATGGTTTATTATGGAGATAAAGTGCTTTATCATGACAACAATTATATTTTGTCAACCTGAATTTAGGACATAGCATGTTGTCTGACTCCAACCTGTGAGAAGTGAGGTTGCCAGAATTATATCCCAAGAGCTGATGCTGCAGGGGCAAGCTGATGTTTTGGAGAACCCCAGGGAAGGATAATTTTGCAAGTTTTGCAAGTTGCTGGAATCATTTTCCCATCAGAGTACTACAGTAAGGAGAGAAGTCACACCTGTTAGCATTTTCTATCTTCTGCAATTTGGGGTTTCAGAGTCCAGGAAGAACTGTCCTAGTGAAGATTTTCACAGCACTAATCAGCTGTTATGCCTCAATACCTCCAGCCCCCAGTGCACTTCTTATATAAGGCTGGGCATTTTAGGAATGTTAATTCAACCCTTCTGAAGAATGCTAGGTTGAGGAAGACTGCTCTATAATATATATTCTGTCTCACATCTATTCTGAAACAGTCATGGACCTTACATCCCTCATCAAGTCTTGAAAAGGAATGTATCATAAGTACTTCACAGGATTTTCCCTGTTCTTCTGTTTGAAAGATAAGTACCCAATTAGTGCAGCTTTAATGCATTCAGTCCAGTGAAATGGGACCTCTGGTTGCAGGGAGTCAGTTTCATACAAAACATACATTTGTCAGCGTTTGAAGCTTAATTTAAGTACCAGCTGCAGCTTTCATTTGCTGGTCTTGATGGATATATGTGTTTACCGATAGTCAGCATTTTCCCTCTTTGGAGGGAGAATCTCTCTTCCCCCCCACTCCCCCGAATGGATAATTTTTCCCCTGTACAAAGAGTTCTGTGGCACTTTGAAGATAAAATACCACGGGCTATTAGGGCCTAGCTGGAACCCAATGCATGAATTATTCTTCTCAATTGGCAAAAATATATGCTTCTAATTGATCCAATGGCCATGATATATAAAATAATAACGTAGTTCCACTCTGTCACGCTGTTCAAGGCATTAATTCAGGGACAAGTAGAATGGGGCCACTGAAGCTGGCCCCACATCCCAGTGTGCACTGATTTGCTGAATGGCCAAATTAAAAACCGGCTTGTATTGCGTTCATGTGAATATGAGGTGGATATGAGGTTTCTTGCTGAGCCAATCCAAGACTGTTGCTTAGACTGTTTGCCATGTATCATACTAGAAGTTTCTTTCACTGAAACCAACGGAGTTCTTTTCAAGGGAATATACTGGTACATATGAGAACTGGGTGCAATAAAAGGCTTAGGAAAGCATTTGTCATATCTTTTTAAAAAGTTCCTAATTATCAAACTCTGTTATGAGGAGCTTCAGAGTGGGGCTGATGGGCAATATTTGCATGTTTTGTACTTGTTGTAAGGAGACACGTGGGCTTCTGCAGAGGGAAGCAAGTGATAAAAGGTATGTGGGGAATGGCTTGCCATACATTTTGATGACTACACAGAACATCTTTGTATGTGAAGGGCCCTGATTCAGAGCTCCACATATGGAACAGTTCTGTGCAAGTGTGGACTGTCCTTTCCAAGCTGCCTAAATGTACAGATAACAAAACAGCACATCTGCCAAAGAGGAGAGCAGTTGGAGAACAGCAGCAGAAGGTCAGCTTTATATGCAAATCTAGGGAAGATATTCCTGGTTCAGGTAGGTATGTCCCCTACTGTCCTATCTATGATTACATCAGGAGAAACACTAATGATAGGCAAAATTAAGGGTCAGATGCAGAATGACTGAACTACATTTTCGTGGACATGATTCCATTTGTTAGAAGTCAAGATGCTACTTTTGCTATGCCCTCTTTTAACTTCAGGAAAAAAAATGTGTATGTTCTAAATTGTAGAATTGTAGCATTCAGCTTAATTTCTTTGTATGTTGCATTTCTTTTTATTACTATTGTTGATCACACTGCCAGATGTTTATACTGGATTTGGCATTTTTGTCTACCTAGTGAGTCCTTTCCAAGGACCTGGGATAGGCAGATGTTGTTGTTCGATAATATCAAAGATATCGTTGCAGGATATCTTTTCACAGCAAAGCTGCCTTTTGCAATTGACTGATGGCAATTTTGTCGATGCCGATGGTGTTCAAGTGGTGCTCCAGATGTTTTGGAATTGCATCCAAAGCACCTATTACTATTGGTACTATCTTTGCTTTCTTTTGCCACAGTCGTTCTACTTCTTTTTGCAGGTCTTTATATTTTGTGATTTTCTCCAGTTCTTTCTCTTCTATTCTGCTGTCTCCAGGTATAGCAGTGTCCACTATCCAGACTTTTTTGTCTTTCTTATCAACAATTGTTAAGTCTGGGGTGTTGTGTGGCAGGTGTTTGTCTGTTTGAATTCTAAAGTCCCAGAGCACTTTAGCTTCTTCATTTTCTATTACTTTGTCT